GGCTACGTTCACACTTTGCTGCAGAGTGAACGTAGTGACCCAAATCCGATTTTTTTTGGCCATATACGACCTGGATCTGATCTTTTCATGACTGTCTGAACAACACGGATCCGATTTTTTCCAATCTGAGCCAGGCCACTTGGCTATGGTCCTGAATCCGATACGAATCTGATCTTTTCAAATGCGACCTGTGTGTGAACGGCCAGGTTGCATTCATCCGACCTGAACGCCATTAATGCCCGACAAAGGTCACTATTCTGGGTGTTTCTATGAAGAAGCGGCAAGAAAAACAACAACTATGGCAGACGATGATGCGGAGAGTAGTAATTATGTTTAACCATCTTGAAGAGATTGTTTTTTTCGGTTGGGAAAGATCGTTAGATGCGCTTCGGCACTACCATCCATGTTTACTTCCGTAAACACAGAGCATGCTGGCCTGTGATGTCATTGCATCCTCTACTGCGCATGTGGGACATTTGCGTTGTATGACTGCAGTTCACACAGGAGATCACATACAAGTCGCATATATTTGGAAATGTGAACGGCAACGCAAAAAAAAAAAAAATCGGAATTTAGCATTAAGGCCTGCAGTGTGAACGTAGCCTAAATGTCCCCCTCCAGCCCTTAAGGTTGTGGTAAAACCCTTAAAGTGGGTTTGCCTAACACCGAAAGGAAGAGATAGTTGTAGCTAGCACTAGGGGTGTAAATCACACCCATCATGGCGATTCAATTCAGTATAAATTTCTGGACCCAACGATTCGATTATTTTCCATACTCAAGAATATATCATCTTCTTTTTCCTTTGCCACGTCTGTCTTGCCTACTGTTTACTCGAGTTTGTGTGCAAGCGAAAAGAGGGTAGTGGCTAAAGAAAGCAAGGTAGAAGGGCAAAATAGGTTTAGTGCCACCGCAGCATGGGAGTCAGAATTACATCCAGGAGCAAATGGATGAAAATAGACTGGAGAAAAAAATAAAACATGAATCGATACTCTTGCGGACGTGTCGATGCATCAGATCGTCAGCTGTTGGATCCATGCATCGATACAAAACGAATATTATTTACACCCCTAGCTAGCACACAGATCTACGATGGCCCTGAAGTGCAAACCACATCTACAAATAAACAAAAGCAACAACATATTCAGAAACACGATGGCATTCTGCTTATGCTCGCATGTTGAACGTTTGAACAGATAAAGCTATTTGACTTGCGGTTTAATAGTCAAACTGTGTCGTTGTCCAATCAGCAAGATCTTAGGTTTCAAGTTAATGCCATGGCTTTTTTGAAACCATTGTTGCTTTTTTAAATATTTTGTATTTTTTTAATTTGTAGTTGTGTTTAAAGATTTGTTCATGTGGTTTGCCCTTCAGGACCACTGTACAGACACTGTGCACTAGCAATAGGAACTTTGTCAAGCAAATGTTAAGGGAAAGCCCTGCAACAATGAACTCTGCACAAACAAAAAATTGAAATCCCTGAAGTGAAATATCAACATAATCGTGCTTAATGCAAAAGAAAAATTGCATAAAAAAAAAATGCGATTTAGATTCTTGAAAAAGTCATTCAGGCCAAGGAAAAATTGTATTAAAAGTTGAAGTGTAATACTACTGCTATAATGCGGAGGATGCACTGTTCTGCTGTGGTAAAGAGAGCGCTGAGCGAACGGACAAAGCCTCTGATTTACAGGTCTATCTACATTCATAAAAATAATAAAACATCCTATGGAGGGTAACCAATAACACAAAATTGATTTTACAGTTTAGTCAGAAAATAATGCATATTTAGCTTCAGTAGGGTTGTGAATATAAATAATTTCCTGTTCCTGCTGCAAAGCCCCAACTAACCAAATGTGTATTGATCTCTTTAGGTAGAGTGTACCTGCGTGTTGACACACACCGCGATGGGTTTCATCCCTTCCCAATAACTAGGGGATGGAAAGAAGTCAATGACGGGGTCGATGCCGTTTTCTCCTACTCTAACAGGATGTACTTGATTAAGGTATCCTTTTGATACTTTCCTATTTTCTGATAAAATGGCATTAAAATGAAGAAATGTGAAAAAAATAACTGCTACTTTATGCAATAAACATTTTCAGGGGGATCAGGTGTACATCTATAAAGCAGACGCTCACTTCACCTTGATTGAAGGCTACCCTAAAACCGTGAAGGAGGAGTTGGGCATTGAGGGCCCTGTGGATGCTGCTTTTGTATGCCCAAATCAACACACTGTTCATATAATTCAAGGTAAAAGTCTTAAAATCTTGCTGCTAATGACGTGCTTTGAATTTTAACAAAAGTATTTAAGACGTCTCCACAATTTCCTTCCAACAGGGAACATGATGCGCAACATCGACCTTACTGCCACACCCAGGGTCATCGACAGAGAACTGCCATTGCCGCTATCCGACATAGACGCCGGTCTGTGCGGTGAAAATGGAATCAATCTATTTAAAGGCTCACAGTTTTATCACTATGAAAGCGCCATGATACTGGCGGCAGGAAGGATCGCCCCTCAGCCCCAGGCCATAACCTCAGCAATGATGGGATGCCAGGATTAAGGAACAGTCACAAACGCGTTCAAATAAACATCATAAAACAAACCGTAAATAAATAATACCCTATTAGAATAACCTCTGGCATGGAATTAAAATAAATGGAGCAAAGTAAGGTAAATAAGTGGAACTTTGGAAAAGCCTTGTTTTAAAGTTTGTCTTTGATTTGGTGAATAAAAAGAAAGAAAAAAAAAAAGAGCTGTCTGAGTGCAAATCATGCTGTTATTTTATGATCAATGCTAGGTGATCTGAAACAACTGACTCTTAAACTTCAACCAAACTAGTCTCTGCACTAGAGGAGCGACTATCTGAAATACACCAGAAAGATAACACTGCAAAAACGATCTAGAAATAAGTCAACATTTTTTTTAATTAAGTTTATTTACCCTTAATTTGAGTAGGTAAATAAGATGATTTGAGATTTTTTTACTCTTAAATAAGATAATTAGATAATATGCACTTGAGATAAGAAAATGCAATTTTTTTATTTTAGATGTAAATTGTGTTGTTATTTTGCAAAGTCTCTCACTTGCCTCCTCAATTCAAGAAAAAAAAAAATCACTTATTTTAAGAGAAAATTACTCATTTAGATTAACACTTTTTGCAGAGAAGTTCCTACACTTATGGAAGACCAACTCTGCCATATTTTAAAATAAATACAGAAATAAATAAATGCTCAATAAATATATAAGCATACAATTAATTGCCAACAAAAATACAATAAAAAAATGAACGGAAGTAGAAATGAAATTATACAGTGAGACATAGTGGAATATTTTCCAGGTCTGGAGAACATTTGAAAAATAACCATTGTAGATAGAGTATACTTGTCTGTTCTTCAAACTTTTCCTCACTCCTTCCTTTAATCTATTTCCTTACCATCATTGTCCATTTTTCCCTTCACTCTTTTATTAATTTTCCCACTCAATCCTTCAATTATTCCTTCACCTTTAGTTTTTAAAACAAGGAATACAGAAAGAAAGGCATATTATAGAAATTAGCCTAGAAAGCATATAAAGCTGTGCGATTAAACACTGTAAACCAAGGCTGTGGAAGTCAGATTTCAATAAACCTAGCTGTAGTTGTTTTAGGACTACTGGGATCATTTACAATAGCTGATTTTGAAATTAGAATAACTAGAAATAATTTATATCTTAATCTATCATAAAAACATAATAGTATGATTCAAAACCTTGCAGCTACCAAAGGATGAAGCTAAAGTTTCGTTCTCAAATTCTTGCACACGTACATATTTGTTTTTTTTGTCACGTACATACGATAAAAAAAAAAAAAAAAAAAAAAACAGACAACCACAGCATCATCCTCCCAACCTTGTTCATTTTTTACAATCTAAAGGGTTTTACAAACTGCCTGAATCCATATTGGCGCATAAGGACCCATACACTTCAGTGTGTCCGAAGGTCAGAGCAGCATTAGTCAGCGTTCGAGGCCTTTTATGCTCTCTGGAGAGGTCTTTGTTCAGTCAAAATCCTGGGACTTTTAGTGAGCATAAAGGAACCGCTGGCCTCAGCACAGGTTTGTAGCCGAGATAGTGAGGACTGACATGTACGCATAAAACGGAGCGAATCTACAAGCAAACACAAACGGCAGAGAGATTGTTTCCTTTGTTTACCGCAATGATCAGTTGATTTGTCTTTTAGCTTAATTGTGCTGGATTTATTTAACTAAAATGTTATTTCCTTCTAATAAAAGGATTTAAGATTTTAAATTCTTTCCTCCAATGACTAAAAAAACAAAAGTTTACAAGTAAACATTACAAGCAGTTAATCATTGACCCTTATCAGATAAATATGTCAATATCTTTGCATAAACACCAACTCTTTCTCCTAACAGTTTTTTTTTTTTGCTGGGGGAGAGCAGAAGAAAAGATCTCTACCAATTTAGAAAATAACATACATTTAATTGATATTAGAAAGAATTGTTGAAGTAAATGGTATTTTATTGATTCTTATTTCTGAATCATACATCACTAACCAAATATAATATAAATATCCTATTTTTACAGAACTTTTCACAGAGAAAAGTTATTTTCATGGAATATCACTCAATTTTTATGGCTAAAGCTTAAAGCTTGACATTCAAGCATTTAATTGAATAGATTAGGGTATTTATTTTCAGTAAACAAACACACTTGAATTGTTTATTACTAATTATACTGTTTATGTTAATAAAGGGTTTGATGTAATTTTTTAATCTGAGTAGATAACCCTACCGTTGATAAAAGACCAAAAATAAAAAGCGAGCAAAGTAAACCCGTGAGCAAAGCAAAAAGAAAACAAAGAAATAAAAAAAAGAAATAAAGTTAATAAAAAAGATGGCACCAAATCATAGCGTTTTTTCACTCAGTTAAATTGAATCATATAGACAGATTAGCTAAAAGTTTTGTGAGGAATCCCACCTGATTGTAGTGACACTACTGGGCATAATTCACTCCTAGATGATTGATAGACGGTCCTCAGTGTCACTGAGTTTGCAGCAATCCCTCACAGCAAACACCCAAAGGGAGGCCTGTAATCCCAGTCTTCAAGGCTAAGGAGTAAAGTTGATGTTTAACCTCATCTTGTCTCTTTTTCCACCATTTGACAGGCCTATCAGTTTATTATTTTTGTGTCGAGCAACAGGTTCTATTCTAGTACATCGATTAACAAGTCCTGCATGGTTAAAACAGCATAAAAAAAGAGGACATTAAGAAATACGTTAGGAAAAGTTATTATCATTGCAGTTTTAAATGGTTTAATAAAGGAATGTTTTCTACTGTGGAGGAATTTTTCTTCAAGAGAAAAATTCTTTAAGAGCTTTAAGAGAAACTGCTTATATTTTATATATATATATATTTTTCAAAACCATAGAGAAAACGGTGCTTAGATCCTTCTTACATCATATAATGTTAAATTAAAGGTAGACAGATAGATTCTTGCTTCCTTTTCCTACCTTCCTCTCTACTGCCAGCCATATACAGACAGCTGTCACCATGGCAACAACTGATGCTCTTCCGCTTCTGCTTAAATGTCCTTATGTCCTCCTGCAGCAAATGGGAAAAAATTCATCATTTTGTTCTATCAACAATATTTTATTAATCTGGCATCATAGCTAAAATAAGAATTGAAAAAAAAAATCTTTAAAAATCAATTAGCACGTTTTATTTTTCTCATATTATAAAATGTTATAATCTTAAAGTACCATTGTATTCCATCATTCACGGCAGAAACGGTAATGCCTCTGTTATCCAACTCATTTTAAGTTCTAGTTAAGCATCTTTTGTAAAAGTATAGGGGAATATATTTTGATCAGTATGATTGTAAAATAAAAACAACAGTAATGGTACAAAAAAATTTATTCAGAAACAGTCCCGTCAACATTTGAGGTAAATGAACATTTACATCAACATGTTCTCTAACAAAATGTTCAGCTGAGAGGCACTTTGCTTCAATAGACGACGTATTTATTTAGTCTGAATTTTCTTTAAATAGAGTACAAGCAAATTAACCTACTTGTTAGAAAGCTAAGGAAGCATTTTAGAAATCTTTTCATTTAAGGCACATCTATGGTGTAAGAGCTAGAATAGGATAAAGTCTTTCCATCCATGTCCAGGACAGAAGAAAAACATCATCCACTGTGGTTTCAGTGTTTTTCCATTGCAGGTATTATTTCAATAACAAACATCAGGACATAGAAAACCCAAACTATTCAATTTTCTGAACTTAAGCTGTTTAAATCTTAGTTTGAATATCAAAGGTACTAATTCAGGGTAAAATTCGAACATCTCACCAAAATAAGGAAAATAAACTTTGCTTCAACACATTTTCAACAAGTTTAAAATAGTCTCGTGTAGATCCAGGACTTGCTTAAACCTTAAATTATGACCAATATGAACATTTATTTGGTTACCATCTTTAATACTGCACTTACTGCAACAAGCCAAGGAACAGATGAAGATATTTACCTTCTGTTGTCCTTTATTAGTTAACTAAGCCTAATCAAAGACATGTAAACAAATGGCACAAAGCCCCAAACAGCAAACATACGGCTTAAATAATATCTCTGTTTTAGCTAGATTAGTTTTAGCAAATTTAAAAAAATAAATAGAAACACCTATAACAGATATTAGGGAGCAATCAAATAGCTGGGTGGTATAGCTCTAAAAAAAATCAGTGACTTTACCTAAATCTGAATTAGAAAAGCATTTTGAACGGTTAATGCAACAAAACCACAGAATTGTGCCTAACTGCACCATATTTGGTGGATTTAACCATTAAGGTCATTAGTTTAAATGTTTTTAAACAAGTTTTTTTTTAAATACGTCAAGATAGACATAATTGTATATAATCACGACTTGTCTTCAAAATGACTTTCTAATTTCTTCAAGTAAAATTCAGGTTCTATTTTACTGTATTTTATCTTCAACTAAAATAAAATTTCTGTTTTATTACTGATATGTACGGTTTGTCTGAAAAGAAAATGTGTGGTCTAAAAAGAGCAAATCTACAACGACCAAAACTAAATCAGAACTTTGTTTAATCTGACTCATTTAGGACTTTGGCTATTCACAATAGAAGGGAACATTACCTACTATAAATTTTCTGTATTTTAAGAAACCTTTCTTTGCAGGAGGGAAAAAAGGAAAAGAACAACAATCAATATACTCTTATGGACTATTTAAACAAACAAACATTTTATAATTTGTAGTTTATTTCCCCCCCCCCATCAAAAAAAACTACAAAAAACTGGATATCTAATATATATTCTACTGCTCATCTAGAAAAACAATCTTCCTACAGAACACTTCAAGGAGACACATGAATTTTATAGAAACACTGCAAACACAATCATTTTTTTAAATGAGCAATTTCTGTCCTCTATTCAAGCTGCATTGCAAAAATAGGAAATTAAATTTCAGCTTCCTTTAATTCACTCTTAATGCTGCCCTTAAAACCAAATTGTCTTTAATTAATTCCAGAAAAAAGAAAAACTATTTTTTTAAATTCTGTTTTCATGGTGAAAGTCTGTATTGCAGCTTAAGTAGTGAGAGCTGTCAGAGATAAGTGGTAGGTTAAAATAAAGTTGTGATATAATAGTTTCTCATTATTTACATATTTATAACTTTTAAATAGTTCAGCCCTGATGTGACTGCAAATATCACATTTTTT